TTTTTTTTTTTCTTCTCGGTGTGTGAAATAATAACATGAAGTAAGAAGTACTTGGCAGGACCAAGCTAAGAAACAAAATCCATCATACAAGATAAAATATCACAGCTTTCAACCAAAAAAAAAAAGCAACAAAGAAAGCATTTTTTGTTTTGTATACTAATGACGCACACCAGGACCAACCATCTAAAACAGAACTACAGAAGATCCTCCCATTACCTTCGCACATGACATTTTACGACATAGCTAAAGCCACTAAAAGTTATCAACAATTTAACAGGGGCCATCGACTAAACAGAGTAAGATGCAAGAGGCCAGATCATAAACCAATCAATAAACTACTCCTTATACACAGAAGAAGTCATACATGCCGCATGAACAATATCACATATACCACTTAAGGATGAATTTCAGTGTCAAATCAGATGCCCAATAGTTCCAAGAGCACCAATTCATCAACAATCCACGGTTCTTGTGAACTTTATGACGGTTTTCGTATACCCGCTGCTCTACAACTTAAAACAAGAGTACTAAAAAAATGTAGTTTTGGTGTCATGGTCCATGTTGCAAGGTGATCAATGGTCCACCACATAATCATACCCACGATTCCCTCAGATCACAAGTTCCATTAACATCAACAACTGGTATCAAATATCAATTACTGTCCTTAAAAAACTCAGACCCATTGTAACAGCACCACCACAAAAACCACATAATAACACAGCATCAGAACTCCTTAAAATACTCAAAATTTTCTTACCAACCATACAGACCCATGATCCATTGGATAACTTAATCAAAAATTCTACAAAAAGTATAAACTAAATCAAACAAAAATCGTCTGCAAAGTAAAGCTACGGTTAATAGAAAAATATCGAACACCAACAGAAAATGAGTTATATAGACTTAATAGATCAAAATTACTCCGACGAAGAGTTCAAAAGGATGAAGAAGAAGCTAACCCCTCCGCAACGGAAAGACATCGCCGACCGGCTGAACACGGCGGTATTGGGAAGAGAGGAAAGAAAGAGTACCGAGGAGGATAGACGAATCAAAAAAGCACAGATTCAGAAAGAGAGAACAATTTTTTCGTGTATTATAATTTATTAAAAAAGATAAGATAATTTTATTCCGCATAATCTCATTTTACATTTTGATGTTTTTTTGCCTGTCTGCTAATTTTTTTTTTTTGGTCGGTTTGGTATGAAATTGACAGCCCACTTACTTTCGGTCACGACGGCCCAAAATCCCACTGTCAAAAGAAACTAGTACACCATCCACGAATAAATAATATTATCTAGTTTTAATTTGCATTTAAAATCGTAATACTTTGTGTAATTGCAAATAAAATTCAACTTTTTTAATTTAGTGAAAAAATAATAAACCATTAATAAGTAATGCAACTGTTTCTTAAAATTAATTTCCGGTCATACCAAACCTTGAATAATATGACCGACAAATTCGTCGTCGGAAAAAATCACAGGTTCCGACGAAGGTGGACGTCCCTAGATGCGGCTTTGCTAGAGGAGTTCAACGGTACCTTTAGATTCACATGGGTCAAAACGAGTCGCCGAAAATTTGCGAAAGAACGCCGAAAAAAAATTGAAGATCTACGAATTTACCGGAAAATTGGAAGCCTTATCGTCGGAATTTTTTCGTGAAACTCGGATATGTTGTCGGCACAAAGGATAGCTCCAAGATCATGTAAAAATTTTCAACATCCGGCGAAGTTGGCCGGCGGCGAGTGGCTTTTGGCGGCAGTCCCACGGGTGAGACACAGTTGCAATACTTATTAAAGGTTTTGGTATTTTTTATGCCAAATTGAAAAGGTTGAGTTTTATTTGCAATTACACAAAATGTTAGGATTTTAAAAGCAATTAACCCTAAATTAAATATATTTAGTTAATTAATTTAATAAAAATGTTATTTGAATTTTTACTTGTGAAAAATTGTATAAACCACGCATATCTAAGAGCATCTCTAATGCATTCTTTTGAAAGAATACAAAGTTATCCACCTCATCTTGATAAAAAGTGTGTGCCTAATTTATCCTCCAATGCATTAAATTATGGGCTCTTTCATGCTTATGTGTAAAAAATTAATGTTAAATCACTTTCTAATTTCTCACATTCTTTCTAACATGATGACTAAGCATTTGAGTAATTATTTGCACAAATTATGGTAAATTTGGAGCTTTCTATAAACTTGGAAAAATCCCACTCTTCCATTAATTCAATAAATATTTTGATAATTTATATGTATACAATAGAATCATCTAATAATGAGTTACAACTAATTTTTTTTTAAAAAAAAAAAAACTGAAAAATATAATATTTTGTTCATTAGATTTGTTTGTTGAGTTTTTTTGCAATTTTTATATTTTGTGGTTTTCTTCTACAAGGATTAAAAAAATATTAATTGTGTGGTTATCATATTGTAAATGAAAAATTACTAATAAATAATAATTGTATAAATTTGGCGATATAAATAAAAATAACTGAATTAACAAAAACAAAAAACATCATGCATATAATTATTGGGATTTGTGGTTTTTTCCTAATATACATTTTTACTTTATTAATAAATGAATAAATCCACATATACAAATTGTATGGTTGTTGAATGAATGCATTGGAGGTAACAATTCAAATGAAAGTCCTATTCTTTTAACATTCAATTCATGTAGATTAAACATTATTTCATTGATTGACATGTGTTCAAATTTAATTAATATTGAAAGTTGAGCATTGAAGATGCTCTAAGATACAAAAAGCATATGAAACGTTGTATAACAAATGTAGAAAACCTAGAATGTAAATTTTGAAAGAAGTGTTAATTCGCCAAAAAAAAAAGTTATTGTTAAAGGAACATACTCTTTTATATAAAAAAAATATGATTTTCAAAAACACCATTAAATGGACTAAAATAAAATCTTACAAAAGATATACTTTTTTATGTCAAAAGTATGTGGTAGTGCAAACGACCTCTTAGTTGGAAATTATAAAGGGTTATTAAACAAATAACTCTCTCCCTCACGTGCCCCTCTTTCATAAGAACAAAAAAAACCCTCGCCAGATCCGAATCGACCTCCTCTTAGTCGGGCTTGTCGCTCGGCCCCGGCGCTGGCATCACCGGCCCGCGCTGATCCTCCTTCAAGGCGTCGCAGTTATCTCCCCAGCGTAGGCCCTCACTGCTCTCGTCCGTTGTCTACGGATTGGTGAAGATCTATGTGCGCTGAATTAGGTTGAGATGCGGGCTTCAACTCCAGTTGAGGTTGATGTGAGTTTCTCTCCCCTTTTGTCGTCTCCATGATTTTCGTGGAGATTGGTGGTCAGATGGTATCCGTCTAATGGCAGACGTAGAGCTTATCGTCTGTTGGTTTTGCGAGTTTGGTTGGCTAATGGGGGTGAGGGGCATCATGTCACTGGTCTGGGGGTGGTCCGTTCGGAGAAGATTTTGTTCATCTGGTGCGGTTCCAGCTAGTCGTGGGTTCACTGGAGTTTCTAGTTCAGTTCTAGGGTCAAAAGCCAATCTGGGTGGGCGGCTGTCTTTGGGAGACGGGTCGCGGTTTCATGCGGTTTGTTTGCTGGCTGAGAGGAGGGTGGTAATCTATTATCTAGTGTTTTGTGTTTTTATTGTGCCTTGTAGTTATAGTATCCTCTCGTAGGAGTTGTTATTCTCCCTAATGGGAACTTTCTATTCTCCTTAGTGTGAACTTTGTGTTCCGTTTGTTTTGTGGGTGTGTTAGAGTAGTTCTCTAGGCTCCTGCAGTTGTCGGGTTTCTCCCTAGATTCAGCTAGATGGTTGTTTGACTTATTCGAGTTGTTGTCTAGTGTAATTATGTGTTGTTAGTTTATAAAATCTATCATTTCAAAAAAAATTAAACGAACTCGATCGAGTTGAACGTCCTTCGATCCGCTCTCCACTGGTAAAATGTCCTGCAAAACAGCGTCAGAGGTTGTCTTGACGTAGGAACTCTGATGTTCAAGTCATTGTTTAATAAAGAAGGATGTATACAGTGTATGTAATTATAGAATGCTAAGAGTGTAGAATTATAATGTTTATACATCATCGCTTTATATAGGGATGTTACCTTGTTGCTTTAAGCTCTGCCCGAGTGTCTGAGCTACCCGATCGCGCTACCCTCAACAACCCAATTCTGTTATACACATGCCCTTCATATCCTAATTATATTTGTGTTTATTCAATATCTGTTGTGTTCACATGAACTTTCTTTTTTATGTAACTATTTTAAGCAAAGTGGTGCTATTAGCTCGATTCCCCTTAACAGGGTCATTCGGGTCTTTAATGAGTACGTCTGCATTTTAGGTCCTACATCAACCTCATCTCTTCCAGGTCGAGTTTCTGTCATGCTAGCCGAGATCCCTAGCTTGACCTATTGCTGAATTGCTATACCTCGAAGGTCATCATCGACTTGTTGCTCTAATGACCTCTAATATTCTTGATGTCCGACATCTGGTCGACCTAACGTGTGGTATGATATCACATATCATCTGGTCTCCCCCCACTCGGGTGAAGGAGAAATAACTCGATCTAAGAGTATATTGAGCTAATTTTCCCTTCCCTCCAGCTGAAACCATCAATTCGACTTAAGGACATGGTCCTTATTTCAGAATAGTGAATATTTTATTTTCAAATAGCCATAATAGTGAATATTTTATTTCCATGTTCTTTTGTTCGCTATTAATTGCTTAGATGTGCATGTGATTAATTAAAACTGCCATAATTGCATGGAAATTAATTATTTTGTGGAAAGTTAATTTTAATTAAATTGCTAATGTGGCATGTGAAATAATTTGATTGCATGTTAAAAATCCTCTTTTTAAAACTAAGTGGGAGAAAGAATATTTAAAGTTAAGATAATTTTAAAAATCCCACGACCTCTATTATCGGTTTGTAGGTTATGCATTTTAGTTGAAGTGTGGCTACAATTAAACGAGGACACAACTGAAAATTAATTTGCGGGATCACCATGAGGAACTTCATTATCGATGGTTAGAAAAAATTGTATTTAGAGCGTATGGGGCTCGACTAAACGAGGAGGTGCACTCTTTCATAAGAACCTCAGGATCAGGAAAATGAATTACACTTAGATTGTGATAAGATTCATAACTCCACTAAAGGGGTCCCTGCTTCTAGTCGCATGGTCAAATGAAAATCAACTATTAATTTCATTCGCCATAAATTTAGTTTTGGCGTATGGAAATTAAAGGCTATAGAAAACTTTTCTCTTATGAATGTTGCATGCTTAGAGTGGTACTAAAGTGACAAGTGTTATTCTCGTGCATGAGGTGTCGGTTAATTTAAATTAATGTTGTTTGAGGATACAATGTTAGTGTTTAAAGTGTAAATTACAATTTTAGTCTTGTATGTTTCACTACTTAACTTTTACGTCCTCTTCGAATTGTGTTTTTTATTTTCGTCCCATATGTTTGAAAAAATGTTACAAAAAGGTCCTTTTCGCAACAAAAACGTCCTTTATGTTTTGCAAAAAAGTGTTCCAATTTCGTCTCTTATATATGAAAAGGACCTTTGTGTAATCTTTTTCTAAACATACAGGACGAAAACAAAAAACGCTATTCGAAGATGACGAAAAAATTAAAATATTGAAACATACAGGACTAAAATTATAATTTACTCGTGTTTAAATTCATAATGTGTTTAGTTAGTATTTTTTTTTTTTTTTTTTTTT